ACTGCGCATTATATTTCAGGTACTATAACTAGAATAGAATGTTGGTTATGAAAATCGTTAGTACATGCAGACATGTCATTAAACCATGTCAGCTTTGCTTCATAAATACAAGCCACAAACCTATAACATGTTACTTTAATTTTAAAAGCTGCTAAAAAATATATGATAAATAAGTGACCTTTATATATTTGATGGTTTTATTAAATTTCTTAAATATCATATAATCTATAAAATACCTTAGTTTATTAGTCTATTTCTCCATTATGTAAAGTTGTCATTTTCATGTCTAGTAAGTTATTTTTACTAGACACATTATGGTATCTCTATTGATTATATATTGGAGGTAAATTTATCAATCAAAGCTGCGTTGTTTATAAATTCAAATGTGATCTGTGTGATTCAGATTATGTTGGCATGACAACCCGACACCTCTTTCAACGCATAATTGAACATAAGTACAATTCTACAGTAGGAAAACACTTAAAAGAACATCATGGAATCCTCACGGGACCAAACCACGAACAATTCAATGTGTTGAAGAAATGCAAAAACAAGTTCAACTGCCTGATATTTGAAATGTTGTACATTAGAAAGCTTAAACCATCACTAAACGTACAAAGTGACTCTATAAACGCCAAACTTTTTACTTAATTTTATCTTTATATTCCGTATTATTGTTTACTTGTATTTTCTTACTTTATATTGTTACACAGTCATTCTTTTTATTATATTTCACTGTACATATTTTCCTTTATATTTTTAATTGTAAATTAGCTCCTATTGTTTTATTCCTATATATGAGCATCTTGTAATTTCCATTCCCCTTTTACTTGAAAATGACGTTATGTTAACGTCGAAACGTCGTTCATTAAAATATTTTTTCTAAAAAACAGTTTTTTATCGCTCAATTTTATCATCAAGTTATATAGTAAGCCACTATTTATAGGTAAATGAAAGTTATTTTTAACATAATTTGCTTTCATAATGTGTTTTAAAGAGAATATTACATTGGACGCTTGGACAAATTTTATATTCTTTTGTTGAAAATCTTTTCAACACAAAAATAAAATCTGTATCATTCTGCATGTGACCATGTAATATCCTTTTTTTACGCAATGCATGACTGTATAGCACTTTCCTAAAAGCATTATTATTTAGTGTCAGACCCAGGATAAATGAAAATCAAGCTAATGACGGTACTTTTGCTCTTTTTCCAGATCAAGCGCATAGAGCTTAATGATGGCCGGATGATATTTTGTGCTTGGGTGTCCCGTGACCCTGAAGAAACTGCCAGCAACTATGGTCTATTTGCAAGTTTCAATAGCACTTTAGGAAACTCTATCGCTCAGATTGATGTGAGTAATACTATTATAATATTTATTAAATATGATTAGTCATTATCAATGTTTTTAGTAATATATATAATATGAGCGGGCGATCTGTATGAGGATTTAAAACAGCGAGCTGTTTTAAACCTCATACAGATCGCACGCGAATATTGTTTATATTAATTATGAAACGTTGAGGTAAACTAGCTCTGGTTTTAAAGAAACTTTGAAAAAGAATTCAATCTGACCGAGAAAATCAGAGTTTAAGGTTTATGCAAATGAACAAGAATCTGTATGTAATATACAACTCTCTTCATGGGCTATGATTTCTATTGTGTTTTGCCTTATGAATATTAATGAGTTTTATAATAGTAAATATTTACATCAATAATGATTATTGCAAAAATATCATATAATTAGATTACTTTTAATTAGTTAATATATATTTTTTATCTTATGATCATCAGTCAACAACTTTTGATTAAGGACCAGTCCTTGCTATTGATGAAACCAAACTATTTTGAATAAGAAATTCAGTCTCTTGTAAACAAAACAAAATGTGGAAACCTTTCTTGGCTCCCATTATTAAGACCTCTCTAGGATAGGGTGGGGTAGGGTAGGGAGAAGAAAATTAATTATAAGCACAAATATTAATAAATGAATGTCAGGAAATGAATGATACATTAGCTAAATAATATGAAGATTTCATTATCAATTATCAACAATTTATTAATGACAACCAGGATGATACATGTAAGTATTTTATTATTAATATACTTAATTTAATATACATTCAATTACATCAGATACCTCCAACAATCAATGAAGATGTTACAGCAGATGATGGGTCAGGGCGTGGCCAGTATGACGCTAAGTATTTCACCAATCAGCAGTTAGGGAAAGGAGCTTTYGGGTTTGTAAAGCTTGCACAAAGAAAATCTGATGGTCTTGAGGTAATTTATGGGTAGTTATTTTAGTTATTATAAGTAATAGTATGTACAATAAATAATATCATGGTTAGTATTGGTTGAATGGAAATAAGTCATAATTTAAGAGAAGATAAAGTATGTTTGTCCCATGTCGGTTAGCCTGTGTACATCCGTTTCTGAGAAACGGATGTACAATGTACACAGGCTAATGTCGGTACGAGTGCTCAATACATTATGTCTACATTCTACATCTACATAAATGTATTTATTTAGTCGGTAAAATCTTTCGATATCACACCAACTAAATGTGTAGAGCGGAATATATAATATATCTTTACAAGGACTACAAACTACTCGAGTTTCACGTCATTATTATAATTTAAAATAATTATATATTACTTCAGGTTGTAGTCAAGTTTATACGGAAATCAAAGGTTTTACCTGATTGCTGGATTAAAGATGACCTTGGAAACATTCCTTTAGAATTATCGCTATTATCTAAACTGAAACATCCAAATATTGTTAAGGTAAAGTACAACTATATTGTATAATAATAATCAATATTATAATAATTAATATTTGTGATTTCAAATTGACAAAGATAAGTTTGAAGGTGTGATATCAGCAGTCCAAGTAATACATGCAATCAAAAAATAAGAGGTCGCCAGGAGACCTTCTGATCAAAATTTCAGTTCAACTGGTCAAATATTTGTGTGAATGGATTTGATTCAAGCTAAAAGATTCCTTGAATGGTCTGTAGCTGAACATTGTGTCTCCATGCTTCTTGGAATTGTCKGCCCTGATTTTMTCGCACCCCTTACAGCTATTAGGCTTGTCAGTGCCAATTATTCAGATGTGCTTAATTACAATATAACATCTTTTTATTATTCATTTGCTCTTAGATGATTGATGCATTTGAAAATGAAGAGTTCTTTCAGCTGGTCATGGAGAAGCATGGTTCAGGAATGGACTTATTTGAATTTATCGACAGACAACCAGCTCTTGATGAAGCTATCTGTGCTTACATTTTTAGACAGGTGAAATTTCTTATAATGTGGTGGTTTCCAAGCATTTATTTCAAAATCTTCAAAACATTATCTTAATTGTAAACAACATATTTTTAACGTTTAACTGTTTTTATCAGCTTGTATCTGCTGTACAATTTCTACATGACCATAACATTCTACACAGAGATATCAAGGTGAGAATCCAWTTTTTTTATTTAATGTCTGTTACCTTCCTGCTGTTTGTAAACTGTATTCCAATAATCCTGCTTATGCACCTCAACCTTTTGTAGTTCCATTTTTTGTTAATGAGTGCACCCAAAGGCAGCCCAACTAAACCTAGAATCCACTCTTAACTGCCATAAAAAAGCTGCAAAGAAGGAGATCATAGTCATGTTCAATAGACTTGCAGAAGTTTGAATATAAAATATTTAATTTTTTGTTCAATATAGGATGAAAATATAATTCTAAATGAGAAGTTCCACATCAAGTTAATTGACTTTGGTTCTGCTGCGTACATGAAAGACGGCACTTTATTTAATACATTTTGTGGTACCATGGAGTACTGTTCACCTGAAGTTCTCCTTGGCAACAAGTAAGTAAATCTTATCTTCAAAATATTATTTATGGTTATCATCATTTCCTGTGAGAATGGTCATATAAGTGCTGAAGACTTTGTTGACATGCAGACCAAGATCTTGTAAGTTACTTAATAATAATTATTTTTATTATTATTCAAAAAATACCCACATCCCACCACCTGCAACAGTCAACAAGATTGAGGCTGGGATGGAATGAGGATTTACATTTTCAAAATGTAGTGAATAAGAGGCAACCATAGTACCCTCTGTTAGCTCATGGAGGCTGCTTGCAATGTGCACTAATTATATTATATAATGTCAAAAGAATGACAGGATACTTCTAGTACCTTGTTTATGGAATGGTGGTTGGTGAGATTGTTGGRGGAGGTGTTSGGGGAGRTYRAGGAAGGATTCARACTGACAGCTAAAATCATATGTTTTTGTTGTAYTTAGATACAGAGGCCCAGAGCTGGAGATGTGGTCTATGGGTGTGACCTTGTACACTTTAGTGTTTGGTGAAAACCCTTTTTATGATGTAGAAGAGACCATCAAAGCTGAGCTTCATCCTTCTTTTCCTGTCTCACAAGGTCTGTCCTTACAGTGAAAAACATATTATTTATATATTTAACTATTTTGCCATAAACTACAGCTGTCAGTTTCCAAGATTTTTGATGAATCTATTTTTAACTGTTGACATGTTCTTGAATCCATAGAACTTATGTTTGTGATATGTTGGCTACTGCATCCTGACCCAAAATGGAGAGCCACTATCAAAGACCTKGTGACAAATAACTGGATAAACCAGCCTGTTGACATACAGCAATACAACTTTGAAGTCATCATGGGTATGTATGGACTGTTTTCTTAAAATATTTTCTGATACATGCATGTAAGCCTCTTTATATATTCAGAGCCTAATGCTTCTCTTTGTAAAGCTTTTTTGGAATTCTCCAGTTTTGAATTCTCTTTTCTTCAAGCTCAAGTGTCTTCTTTGCATTACAATATGATTCTCTGCTGAATAACAGTAGATAATAAGTAAACATGCTTTTGAGGCTAAGGCTGCAAAAATCAGATTTTGAAATAAACTGGAGTATTGCTTACTCGTTTTCTGGGGCACTTGAAAACTGATTGGAAACTTCCAGAACCATCAACTTTAAAATGAGTGCTCACTTAAATAGTCCTTAAATTTAAAATCGATTTTTTTGTTTGCTCATTAAACAACATTAACAGTCTCCTAGAATTTTGTTGGGGCCATGGAAATGTAGGGTGTAACCCATATTTTGCAATATATTGCTTTTGTGTTAGTTGTAAGCTAAAACTTGAAATGTAATCCTGCCAGGAACTCACTCATTCTGTTTTACTCTAACTTACAGCAACTAGYGATGCAGTACCTAACTTTCCAGGTCCACCATCAACCAATGACTTAGATGAGGATGATGATATATCACAAGATGATATTATAGACTATGACCAACTTCAAACAGCCATGCGAGATTTTTTGGGGCATGCCAGTGATGATAGCTGTAGCGAAGATAAGTGATGTATATACAATGTAGATAGAAAATAGGAATTATTTGTGGTAATAAGGAAACAGTAGTGTGTGCCATCACATGGAAAAAAGGCTCAAAGTTGAAATAAAAGATTCAAAACCCCTCACCTTGGCAWTGTATAACAATTAATTGTGGTTCAAGTTTTAGAGTCAATGTTTCTTTATTTTCATGGCCTAATTTATGTTGTACAACAAGTTTCCTGTGAACTTCAAGACATTTGTATTGAAKGTGAAAAAGCATTTAACATTTAATTGAACTTAAGAACTCATTAATTTTCTTGCACCAGAAGTGGAGGGGTTTTTGACTGTATATTTAGTTTTTGCCTATTGGTTATTATAGCCTAGCTGGGTGCAGCCAAACCAAAACTGTTGTGTTTTGGGTGTCAAGCACAACAACAGTTTTGGTTTGGCTGCATGCAGGCTATGGTTATTATGGACGGTATCWAAACACAGAAAAGTGAGTCAAACAGTTTCATAGTGAGTCATATTGCTTTAAGAGGTTTTTTTTGTCAACATGAACCATATTATAATTATCTTCACTTGTTCATGTCATACTAAAMGTTGCATGGCCCACACTGTATTAACAATTTTAATTAATATGTACATATTTGTTTGACTTACACTTTTAATTAGTGTATTGAATATCATTAAGTTTTAACATTATTCTAACATCTAATAAAATAATATATATCAAATTTGTACATATTGAATGGAGSATGTGGTAACTCCACACCAGGAATATTATTATATTTTATGACTCACTTTAAGTTTATATAGCAAGTGTTGAGTGTGACATACTGTAGTTGTATTAGTTTTGTTTTGCGAGTGGAGTGGAAGGCTTGCTCTATAGACCTCTTGCATGTGACATCCAAATTCTGATTTCCTGGGGGGAAAACAATAGAGAGAATCCCAATTCCGAAAAGTTCTTTAATTTGTTTTGTGTCCCAGATACTGTAGTAATTATTGTCAGTTTGTTTTTTCAACTTGTATTCTTTGCACAAAGTGGAAGGCTAGCACTATAGACACCTTGCATGCAACGTATTACAAAACTTTGCTGTATTGGGAACAACTCTCCATTGTTTTTTGCCCTGGTGGAGCTGCACTTACATGAATCACATAAAGGATTTGTGCAATATGTAAAATAGATCTTAATCTCTATGTTATAACTTGATTTGCTTTTTATTGGAAACCAATTATCCCATATTAGCAATGAAAGTGTGATTCCATCTAATATTATCAGTCATTAGTCATGGATTATCATAGACATAATTATGTATACTACTTTGCRCTAATAATATTGTGCTAATTGACAAGTTAGGATGAGCAAGACTGGACAAAATTTGGATCTTTTTCAGTTTTGAAAAGMAGAAACCTTTAAAATCTTGGTGAAAGTAATGTAATCTTGATGTTATGATATTCAGATCGTAAAAGGTCCTCATTAAGCATTTTTTACCATTGAATCAGAAAGCAACTTTCAACAACTGAAGGTATAAATTTGTAATAAAAACATAAAGAAAGATCAAGGAGGTTYTTGAATTCTGACATTTTGGTTGCAAACAAACTGTGTCATCATACGATCTTATCGACTTATCAATGTGCACAATTTTCATTATTAATTGAGCCAAATATTTTCCTGCTTAACTCTACCTTTCAGTCAATAAGAAACATTTATTGCAGAGCATGTGCTATGCAAGTCTAAAAGCTAGAATCATCCTTGAATGTGTGTTAAAGTTTGGAGACTAAAAAATTCTTAATTTTTTAACCTATTATTTATATTAATAAGTATTAATTATTTGTACAAAGAAAATATGCTCATTTTAGAGTTGAAGTTCTTATAGAACACAGACAGACAGACAGAAGCTTAATGAGAAGCTGTGAGATTTGCTGGATGAAGCAATAAAATATAMTAAAACAAATAGTGAGTATGACATTTTATTTTTTAAACWAACCAACAAAAACATGCAAATGAACAGCATTTGTCACATTTGTTGTTTTTAGAGCCCATACTCATGTCTGGCTCAAGAAACAAATGAATAAAATGCAGGCTCAAATGATGACACAATTTTGACCTATACAATTATGACCTATACAATTTGCCACACTACTTTGAGTCCTGCATAAAGGCCGATTTAGACGACACAACTTTTGCTTACAACCATCGCATGCAACCTGCGTAAGTCATACTTACGACATGGCTACAACTGTCGTATGGATTTTAAACAATTGCTTAATAGCCTCACGACAGTTGTAGCCAAGTTGTAAGGATGACTTACGCAGGTCGCATGCGATAGTTGTAGGGAAAGGTTGTGTCGTCTAAATTGGCCTTAAGTCATAGACAAGTTGTAGAGGCATTTATATGACACATCTTTGAGCTCGTTTGAGTTATATAATACTGACACAAGKTGTACACAACAATCACATTGTTTCAATCTGCCTTTAGGTTACATGTAAAGTAACTTAAATTTGATGTAAATTTATATTCAGAAGTTATATTTCGTGAGATTTGTGTGTGTTTACTAGCCTACGTAACCTTGTGGGTTGTTAMAMA